AAGAAGAATATTTAGGAGATTTCCGCGTGGCATGGTCATTTTTGGAACGGCGATTTGTTCTTTCTGTAATTAAAGCGTTAAAGTTAAAAAAACCAAAACATTTTCTCGAGCCTACCGTTCAAAACCTATTTGACCATTTATATTGCAAAATCGATTTTGTACAACTTTGGAGAGTCTTCTTTACATATTTTAAAGCTTAAAGCCTTAACTCAATCAATATGTCAAGGAGATTTTCGCGTAGCATGGTCATTTTTTGGACCGGCGATTTTTTCTTTCTGTAAATAAAGTGTTTAATTTTTCGGAAAAAATTATATTATCGAGCCGAAAGTTCAAAAACTATTTTCACAAATCCATTGCAAATTCAATTTTGTACAACTTTGGAAGGTCTTCATGACTCTTTTTTAGGTCCAAGCAATATGTGCGTGATATTATCGTATAACTAGGTCATTTTAGGAACGGCGATTTCTTCTTTTTGTATAAAATGTATGAATCCGGAAAAAATACACCATTTTCTCGAGCCAACCGTTCGAAAACAACTTTACCAATTCTATTGCATATTCGATTTTGTACAACTTTGGAGGGTCTTCTTTATAATTACATATTCTCAGGCTTAAAGCCCTAACTCAAGAAATATGTCCAGGATATTTCCGCATGTCTAGGTCATTTTCCGGCGATTTCATCTTTTTTAATAAAAAGTGTATGAACTTTTGGTAAAACATTTTTTCGAGCCAACCGTTTATACAGTGGTCTTCCAACTTCACATCAATATAAATCAGTGCTTGTGTGTGTGTGACAAAAACGTGCTAGTGTGAATTGCAGTTCTTGCAGGAATTGATCTCATGTACAGTTAGCCATTGTAAAATGAACGTTACGTACTTATAAAAAAACCCTAGTAGATTTTATTTGTTAAGAGGATCTTCATAACAGCTATATAAGGCTCAAAAGATGAGAGATCTAATGCAAGGAAAATAAAAGCAAGTGTTCCACGTTCAATGGTCTCTTTTCGGACCTGCGAGTCATATTTTAATAAATATATAAAGTCTTAAGAAATTTCGTTTAAGACGTGTCATTTTCTCAAGTCAACTGTTGACTCATTCCGTTGCAAATTCAATTTTTGTACAACTTAGGAGGGTTTTACTTAAGCAATAATATTATGTCCAGGAAATTTCCGCATGACTTGGGTATTTTTTGAACGTCATTTGTTCTTTCTCTATATAAAGAGCTAGGTTCACTAAGCACTGAAAATGGCCCAACCTCGGAAATTGATGAAAATCACTCCAATGATAGTTAAATATGTCTAATTGATAGAATTAACATTCTTGATCATAAATACGTAACGATGATGTCACTTGTCGTCTCTTAATTGGAACACCTGTTCATCCAATTACCGGCACTTATTGATCTCGCAAAATAATGAAATTTATTTTATTTGTTTCCTATTTCTTAAGATTGATTTTAACAACACTTTATAATTAAGATGCAACAACATGTATGCAGTGTAGCCAAGAATAAAACATTTGTTGGCAATAAACCAGTTTTCGGATGGTAAAAAAATTCGAACAATTTGGCATTTTTAATTTAAAATCTGTTTTGTTTGAAAAGAATATAATTCAAATGTTTTATATATTATCTTAAAGTCATGCTCTTGTGAAATCTTAAGTTTTTTTAAATCTACTTCAGATGGATTGATAAAAGATTTAAAAAACAGTACCAGGAATAGTAAATAAATACTTTATTTATGAATGTACCATTTCTACAAACTATTAAATAACGAATATGAAGCGCATGTATCAAACAACTCATTCAGAAAATCTGTATGATACAAACATGGTGTAAAAAATATAATAAAAAAGTGTGAAATTTTTTAAAAGGAAAGTATAATAATGTAGGAAATGTTATCTTTACCTGTTTGAACTTCAAATTATGATACTGATTCTAGAATTATTAATATTTATCTATTTTTAAGCATTTCTGAAAATAATGTTATTTTTTGTATGAGAAGTTTTGTGATTTTGCTTGAAACATACCTATGAAAATCTTAATATGGCAGCTTGATTTCAAACTAATAAATAAAACAGATCCTTGGAAATACTTAATTGAAAAATTAAAAGAATATTACAATAAGAAAGAATCAGTTCATTAATATAACAGTTAAACGAAACTCACTCTACAGTTCATGTAACAAATAATAACACCGAAAAATATTTAAATGTTTGTTGTTAATAAAAAAAACAAGTTATTTCATTATGTTAACGGTAGCAAATAGTGAATTATTCACTTATTAAGTGCAAAAGTCATGACGTCATTGTGTAATATAAATGCGTTGTTATAGACTTAACTTATTCGACACAACTTTACTAAATGTCAAAATGGAAAAAGGTGCCTAATAAGTACATAGTCAGTTTTCTATCTAATCCAGTCTCTTCCATCATTTTGTGCAGCTCCTTTTCCCTCTCTAGATGCCTTATCATTTTTGCAGCAACATCACTTTCGGATTGGTTTGTGCTACTGAGAGGTTGAAAGTACTTGTTTGAAATAGGACATACAATCCGAACAAAATAGCCAATATATAAAATTTGACTGTTTGGCATAACATGATCCAAGTTCTTAAAACGCTTTATATGAGTATTTGCCGACTCAACAACCCATCGAATCTGAAAGTATAGAACACCGTTACTTTGATCAAAGAAGTTTTTGTTTTCATTTTCTGTTGTGTATGTTCACTAAAATGTTGGCGTTTTTACATTATTAAAATATTTATTTATTTACAATACACGATTTAAAAGTACAACTGTGATGGCAATTCTACGGCGAAATATGTGTATTATCAATATATGTAATACTATAAAAGAATGAGTGGGTTCAAACCCCGTTCTTGAGCAAGAAACATTTACATTAATTGTTAAGTATGTGTAAGGTTGTAGTCACTTACATATTTGTGGTTATAGCTCTGGAATTAACCAAATCAAAATCAGGTTTTTTTATAGTTTCAAATGCAAATGCAGGCACATAAATATAAGTTTGTGTATGTTAAAGATAATGTCAGTGTTCAATAGTTGGAAGTATATGTATCTATATATAGTAAAGTAGTAGTAAAATGACAGCAGCCGATAGATATTTACTACATTTCCATAGATTTAAACATTAAACAAAAAGCCTGCACTCTTTTCTTTCATGTTTTTACCATATCACATAATACACTTAACGTGGTCCGAAATTATGCATCGTTAATTTCATTTCGTTGCGTAGATCCCTGATTAAACTCGAACTTCGATATTTATTTTGTTTTACATGACAGTCAACATTTTTATTTGAAACTGATTATTTTACAAACAGTAGAGTATAAATTAATACCAATAGGTAGTCTTAATTGCATTAACGTTATAAAATATGGTTCTGCAACAGTTTTTTTCATTAGGGAAAAATAAATACCTGGAATTGCACTTTATGTTGGTGTCTATCTCGAGTTGTTTACAATAGCGACGCTGTGTTTCGTACCCAATTTTGTTCGTCCCGTGATGTCGAATAAATGAGCGATTATCGTATTTCATGATGTTGTTGTTTTGTAAATACTTTGTTATAACTTATTTACAAGTTTTCTTTCACACTTTTCTTATTTATGCGTAATTTGTTATCAGAAAAGATTATAACGATGATTTTTAAGACGATAGATCCCCTTTTATAATTATCAAGGGGTGGCATAAATTTTCTTATTTTATGAGCGCATGCATGTTCCACAAGCTAACGATGATATATTGAATGACAATAGAATTGCAAATTATTCAAATTAAGTTTAAAGCTCATATTGAGAAAATTAAAAATAACACCATATTTTTTTATGGATTGTTGCTTTTTTGCCAGAATAGTAACAACGGTAGATTATTATTACCTATACAACGATTTTTAAAAAGGAAAATGATTTTTATGATGCATTTATGTTGTTAATTAAAAACATAAAACAAAAAAAGTTTTTCCTTAGATTTTATTTTCGATTTTTTTGGGGGACATTTTCAGTGGTTAGTGAACCTAGCTCTTTCGGGAAAAAAAATCATTTTCACCAGCCTACCGTCCATAAACCATTCGACCAATTCATTTGCAAATTCGATTTTGTACAACTTTTGAGGGTCGTCTTTGCACATTATAGTTCCTAAAGCCCTAACCTAAGCAGTATGTCTGGGAGATAGATTATCGCGCGGCATGGTCATTTTTTGGAAAGGCTGTTTGTTCTTTTTGCATATAAAGTATTTAAATTGTCGAAAAAAAAACATCATTTTCTCGAGCCTAAAGTTCAAAAAACATTTTATTAAATCCATTGCAAATTCGACTTTGGATGGTCTTTGTTACATATTTTAAGGCCTAAAGCAATTTGTCCGTGACATTTTCGCATGTGTAGGTCATTTTTCAACGGCGATTTGTTCTTATTGTATATAGAGTGTATAAATTTTCGGGCAAAAAATATTTTCAAGCCAACCGTTCATACAGTGGTCTTTCAATTTCATATAAATGTAAATCAGTGCTGGTGTGTGTGACAAAAAACCACTTGAGCGCACTTGAGCGCGCTGGTTCTTGCAGGAATTGATCCCATAATTTAAAGTGTTCATTCTTATTGGTATACGCATTGTATTGACAACAATTGAAAAAAGCTGTATTGAATGTCTGATATATGAAAATCGGATAACTCTGTCGAATGGAATGCAAACAAAAATAGATTTCTTTGATTGCAAGATAATGTGTCCAACTGATGCCACTAATTTTGTGATGTATTACAATACTGCACGTTTGTAACGTCGACTTTCATTGGATAATCGTGGCGTTTATAGATAATTTTTGCACAGCTGTTGTGATGACCATGTGGATTATTTACAAAAACATGCGTTTTAATGAAATCCGTGTATAAGGCTTCTGTGTAATTATATGAGTACAGTTAGCACAAACACACGTGTACACACAATAAGCACAAAATTGTTACATTTATATACAATTTATACTACCCATTATCGGTTACTTTGTATCGTTTATTACTAAAAGTCATTCTAATTATATTGAATGGTTATCTCTAGACTTTAATTTTGTCTTACCTTAAATGCGAATAATGTTGAAAAATTAACAGTGTAAGCTTTCAAAAATCAGGCTATGCATGCATATATTGTATATTAATAAGTATTGACTTCATAATTATTCAATATTTAAAATGTTTATGTCTTAGAAGGGAAATTCATTTAATCTTGCAAGAGTATACAGTGATTAGTCAAAATTTATGAAGTACAGTTTTATTTGTTCTTTCTCATTCTAAAATGTATATTGTAATACGTGTAAAAGTAGTGGTTCAGTATTGAATTATTCATTCAAAGTGGTTTATTTAATTAATCTGTTCAAAGATCATTGATGTACTGATTACAAACAAGCTTTTGCATTAATACGTACATACTGAAAAACACAGAACTGTTCTGTTCGTTCTGAAAACAACAACCTATAGGTTACACTAAGCGTATACAAAATAGCCAGTGAAGGAAATCCAACGGTGTAAATCTGCAAATAAGTGACTGTCTGTCCATTTTGCGACTACATTAACAACTTCTCCGCTCTTAAGTCTCACGATGGTATTAAGGGAACCACATCCAGAGGCCATATTCTCGTAACTTGTCGAAACTGCTAGTTGAACGCCGCCCTTTGTGATGGCAAACACCATATATTTACCACCAGCGTGACAGAGATGCGCATTGAACGTGTAGACACCTGCTCTAGGCGCAGTGAATTTACCACTTTTGACATCATAACCATTGCCTTCGTTAAGTGTACAGACTGGAAAAATAAGTGGCTTGTTCAAAGGGATAAATCCATATCCACTTTCCATATGAGCCTCAAACGCAATACGTTCTGAAAGAGAGCATGTTTTCATGATTGAATTATTTTTTACTATCTTAAAAGAAGGTCGCAAAATTCATTATTTTCGTGGGACATTGATTTTCGTGGTTTTCGTGACTTAGTCAATCCACGAATTAAAGATCCAACGAAATTTCATTTCGCCTGCTGTAAGATTATTTTGCAATACCTTATTGACATTTTACCTTTTTTGGAAAAATAAACAATCCACGAATATAAGTACCCACGTAAATGATTTTCGTGAGAAACAGAATTCATGTCCATGAAATAAATAAAGTAAATTCGCAGTATGAATGTTAATATTTCCAAACTGTGATATGCCCATTATTTGCTATATAGTAAAGATTGTGTGCGTATAATTGTAGTTATAACAAATAAAACAGCGCACAAAAATTTCATCGAACTACTCATGATTCAATATCAATGCTTCGATAACGCTTTATTCTGGCCACGTGCCCTAATAAAGTGGAGATATTTTTAAAAACATTACCTGCTAGATTTTCCTTGAATGAACATTTTTTTTAGAATTGCCCGTTATAAACGTTTGAAAACAAGATTAATATTTAAAATTAGCCAGCCAACAGCAAAGAGCTCAAACCTATCCCGACTGCACGAATGAACAGACTATCCTTGTTTTATTCTGGTGGCAAAGGCCAGTAACGTTTGGTTTCAGCGAGCCATAGCTAAGAATAAAATTCTTATGGAAATTTTAACATGGCAATAATTATCGAAATTTATTTACAATATTCTACGGAGTATACTTTTGAATCATTTATTTAAGAAATAATATATCCCAAACAGTGATTTTATCGCTCAATAACATCACTGTTTGGAGTTCGGATGTGACGAAATATATTACGAGGGCGTAGCCCGAGTAACATAATGGTGCGCATCCGAACGACAAACAGTGATGTTATTAAGCGACAAAATCACCGATTTGGATATATTATTTCGATTCTAACACGACATCAACAAATAAATGCTGCCGTACCTGATATTAAGCAAACTTGCGTCTGATGTATAATGATTACGTCAGATATCTAAATATAGAACGTCAACTGTGACTCTATTGCATAATAACACACACTTTCGATTCTTCTATATTCAATAGTGAAAAATGCGGGCCGTGTTAGAATATGGAATATTCTAACACGCTTCACACTATTCCCCTCACACTATTCCCCTATCAAACATATAGGGCAATCAAGTGCATTATTACATGTTATTATATGATCTAAATATAACTGCAATCTGATTGGTCCAAACAGTAGTCAACAGAACTTTTTATTAAATCATATTCACTGGGTGAAGTATCATATTCAATGGCTGAATTGGAGTTTTCCCAGTCTAAAACTAGATTGAGACTCATATTCAATGATCATACACCGTAGACTGCTAATTACGCGTGCTAATTAAAAAATAATTATTGCTTTTTGTTCTTTATGGTATATTTCTCGATTAAAATATCATTACTTTACTATTATGCTTAAAGGCTACACCGCAATGATGAGTATAAACTTGAATTAGTTTTGTATGCGCAGCGTTCGCGTAGTCGTTGCACACCTAACACGTGCGTCTTTTTTCCCGCGCTTCATCAAGGCAAAATTTGTACATGTGTATAAGGTTGTACTTTTTGTGATTTTTTTTATTTCTTAGCCTATTCATATTATAAAACAATTATTGACTAGTGAGCTATTGAATATGATGTGATATTCATCGGCAAAAAGTCATATTGACCTCGGCTATCGCCTCTGTCAATATGTCATCTGCCGGTGAATATCACATAATATTCACTGGTTCACTAGTCAATAATTGTATATTATTACACGTAATAAGAAGACGTAAGACTAACAAATTGACATCATGAAAACTACTTCTACGCTTTATGTAGATCTACATATTTGTATCAATTTTCTTTTTCATAAGCGTGTCTTTTTCATAAGCGTGTTAGAATTGTTATAGATATAAACCTGTCTTGCATAACAGTAAAATAATAATGCACGTTTTACCGTTTAAATGCTTTGTACATAATTAATAACATAGGCCTATCGGCCATCTTAATTATATTCCTATGCATTTGAACTCAAACCTTGCATTATTTTCAACAATGCACTTAAATTTGTGTGTATTTCCTAAGTAAAATCAAGCGTCGAGTATATCAGACAAGAGTGCACATTCTTTTTGATGCGTTTTTGATATAATAATCAAATCGAAATATAATCCATTATTATGCTTTACGTTTCATAAAGATCTAGTCCTATATTTGAAAGATAAAGTGTTTGCAAACGACATTTACATAGTATGACGCACTTTATATGTCATATGGCATCGTATTATATAACTTTTCATCGGGTAATTTATTGCATTTTAGCATTGCACGGAATGTCCCCCATCCATAAAGGATTATAAAGGCGTTATTGCAAATTAATACAAAACCAACCACATCTGCAAATATTTTGCAATGCCATTCACAAAGTACGTCTCACCATCTCCGGTGAAAGTTACTTTCCGGTTCAAAGTAAATGGCAACAAGTGTAAGGAATTTTATGACTATGCCTTGCGTATATCAACTAGATAAAAAAAACTTACTGTTTTTAACACTGCAGGCAAACACGTCTTCCAGGTCTTCTATGTCAATGCTACAATTGACAAACGAGGCAAACAGCCCCTGAAAACACAAAAATATATATTAAGTTACTTTATATGGATAGACGAATTGATAGCAAGACAAAATAAATAGATAGATTTAAAAAAAAACTTTAAATGGTGAAATAAACTTTAAAATTTCAAAAAATGTACAATCAAACTTATGTTTTTTGTTGTTTCTTTTTTTTTGTATATGTTGAGTGTTTTTTTATATAATTATTACTCATTTAATAATTATTATACATTAAGAGTGTATTTGAAAAAAAAAACATGTTATTTTATGATGGCTGTGTTTGGGCTTGGGTAGTGAACTTTAAACTAGTTTCCTTCACCGTTTTGGGTTCGAATCTCGCCAGATTCTTGGATTTCTTTCATGTGAGGAAACTACCCAGTAAATAAACATGTGCACAGAAATACAAATATCTATTTTTTCTGCTCCTTTTCTTTTTTGCGTGAAATGAAATACCATTTTCTATATTTTCCCTTAATGTAAATAAATATCTAAATGATTATTTCTATTTCTTTATTTTTTATTTTGGTCATTTTTATACTTTGATAAATATTGAATATTTAGAATTCCATGTACAAGCATATAATATTTTGTTTATATATAAATATTATCATTAATGACTTTTGTTTCATTTCAAGGATTCCATTACAAAAATAGATAACAGGAACTAAAATTTATTCAAATTTTGTAGCACCGAGAACTTTCTCTGTAAAACATTCAAACTAGTTAAGGTCTTTAATTATACATCATGTTCTTTCATTACATAATTGTTAATTGTATTGGCTATGAATGTGTTTTGTCATTTTATGCCAAATAAAGAATTGTTATGTTTATTAAAATGTTCAAACAACTTTCAAAACTCAAAATTATACCTATATGTCCTTCTACAAACAAAGCACTTATCCATAATAAACATGACGTATAAAACGTGTTCCACCGAAAGTTGTAATAAGCAAGTCAATTTTAAAGTCACATAAAATAAAATTAAAATAAATAAATGTTTTAATTACCAGGACTGCAAACAGTGTTATAATCATAGTGCCTCCCGTTATGCTTTCAATTGAATACTTCCAAATACCAAGTCTTTAAAAGCTGTCGCTCTCACGGCTCTATTTATCTAACCATTCATCCCACACTTGCAGTGATACTACAGTATTAAAAATATATATCCGTGACAAAAATTAAGGTTTCAGATACTATTACGCATTTCTAAAGTTTGTCCCGGATAGTAATAAGATCTTTTTGATTGCTTTCTTATCATACATCCGCGAAATTTGTTTAACTGTCGTAGTCCCAATATTAAACAGAACACTTATAATGCAAATAAAAGCCAAATATAAATCACCTCCGTGTAAGTAGTACAAACCAGACAGTTTAAAAAATAACATCAACAATAAAAATAATGCGTTTCGATATATACCAGTTAATGTGAAGTGCATTTCAGCTGCAATAAAGAGCAAAAAATGCGTATAAATTTACCAGGGCTTGTGTTCAAGAAGATTTTTAAAAAAGAATATGTTAATTTCAATGTGAAAATCAAAAGGCATTTTATCTCTTGACAATACATTTCATTTTATAGCGCTTACGTACCAACTCGTATTTTATATCTTTTAGTGTTTTTTTTATTTATTATTATATTTTCTTATTTAATTTTTATTTCAATGTCATCAGTCGACATTTTGAAACCAAGTTTGACTTGTTGTGGACTTGTGACTTGAAAATAACCTAACAAAACACAAAAAACAAAACACAAACAGTGCAAAAACGTGCCAATTATAAATCATCTTCGTGCAAGTTATTCAATCTTAGTTTCTTTAAGAGATAACATGCGACATCCCAGATGCAAACTAAATTATTAATTTCATATAAATTTTAGCTGTATGCAACGTAAAGAATAAACACAAGAAGGAAACTTTATTAAAGAAACAAACTACACAAATTAAAATAAATAGAATGTCACTTTAAATAAATTATACCAACTTTGTAACCATAACAACTGTTAGAATTTCTCTTGGCGGGGATTCATTTTATTTACACTGTCTCGTTTATAGGAACATGGTGGGGCTAAGAGCGAGGTTTGATGCACCATTAACCGGTTTAAACTCCCCAGCAGTCATTATTATGCTGCTGACCGTTCCAAGTCGGCGCCCCTCTGTGATCCTCAGATGTATGTCTATGTTGTTTCATACTGTTTTGGTGACACTTTTGCTTGTGTCCCTTGTTGTTTTCTCGTCTACGATAAGTATCTTCCCCCTTTACCCCTAGTTTTTATTTCTTTGATTACCCCCCCCCCCCCCCTTCCTCCGGTCTCCTGTCCCCTTCCCATGTGCCCTTTGACTTTGTGGGCCTATTATTCAATCATTTATTTGTTTTCTTTGGATTCCTAATCAGTTACAAATTATTTATCATTTAGTGATTGACCTGTCCGAGCTCTGTCTTGTGCCCTGTCCTGTTTTTGGTTGGGGTCCGTCTGGGCTCCTTGCCACTGGTTCTTGTTGCTGGGTCGTGTAGGGGTTGCGTTCATTGAACGCCGCCTTTCCTTGTTGATCTTGTTTATCATATTTGTTGTTTGTTCGACCCGGATCTGTGTGGTAACTATCGCTCCGTTCCCACGAACGACGAAAATAGCAAAGAAAAAAAACCGATGTGTCAGCTTAAAATATTTTATTCACGCTGCACAAACTTGCATTTCCGAATTGAACGGTTTATACTTTCCTATTGCAAATTTATTTACTTCACTTTAATAAATAAGGGCAAAGATATTTCTACTAGAGGTCAAAAGAACGAATTTTCGTGTAGAAATTTGAAGTTGCTGTTTGAAGCCTATTACTAAGTTTATCACAGAAATGTCTTTATTTTATTTTGATATTGCTATAGTTTCCAAACAGTTATTCATTGGCCAACTACCTGAACCATCTTTTGATTTTGTTAATTTCTGACAATAAGTTCATTTATGAAGTGATTTACTGTGGAAGTAAAAATACTACTTTGTTTACATTCTACTTCTTTTCTGACGAATAATATCACACTCAGTGCTACTTTCGTGGGGTAACATGCACTAAAACCATTATTCAAAGGTTTTGCAATTAATGGTTGTCCTTCCTTAAGGAACTCCATTGAGTGTTACAGTAATTTTATGTTATCGATTATCATATTAACAATTTGCACTAGGTAAATCTATGTGCATTATTATATAATTATTGACTAGTGTGCCATTGAATATGATGTGATATTGTGATATTCACCGGAAGATGACATATTAAGCCGAGGTCAATATGACTTTCTGCAGGTGAATACCACATCATACTCAATGACTGATCACTAGTCAATAATTGTTTTATTATATGAATAGGGTAAAAGAATTTAAAAACAATTACAGAAAGTACATGTACCACTTGCTCTGTTTCGTTGAAGCTCGGAAAAAGGACGCACGTGTCAGAAGAGCAACAACAATGAGAACGCTGTGCAAAAGTAATTCAAGTTTATACTCATCATTGTGTTGTAACCGTTAACTAAAATAGTAAAGTAATGATATTTTAATCGAGAAATATGTCATACATAACAATGCGCAACAATTATATTTAATAAGCATGCGTAAATAACAGTCTACGATATATGGTCATTGAATATGAGTCACAATCTATTTTCGACTGGGAAAATCCAATTTAGTAAGCAATTATCATACTTCAACCAATGAATATGATTTTGCAAAAAAATCCGTTGACTTCTGTTTGGACCAAAGAGATTGCAGCTATATTTAGATCATATAATATATAAAATTTAACACAGATACATGAAATGAAACAAAATGTCTTAAACCGTTGCACTTTTGTATTTAATCCCATATTTAGGAAAACCAATTTTACGATCCACGTTATGTTTTGACCATAGGTGTTCGGCGCGTTGATTGGTCACTACCCCCAGCCCCCCTCACCCACTCTACAACCCTCCTACCGCTCAAAGTCATTTAAACTGCAGTATTTTTCATTTGAAATATGTTTTCATATTTGGTTTATGCTTTTAACATTTTCCTTCATTTCCCACAAAAATAAAAAATGATATAATATATATATTTAGTAAAGGTATGCAACTCGCCGCTCATTTTTCAGCACTCTTCTTAATATGAACTACGTAACTCCAACATTTTTTCACCAACTGTCAATATCTTGGTAGTTGGTACCAAATGGTAGGAAATTGATTAATCTTAAAGGAATTAAAGCCGTCATTACAATCCTTTCAAGTTATAAGAAGATATGTAATCTCGAAGTCACCGCAAGTGTAACTCGACAGAGACCTGACCGCTGGGTTTTTGTCAAAATTCCCCGACTAAACGGCAGTTTATTCGAAATGAATGGATTTTTTTTGCATTGCGCATATAAATATGACAAAATTGTATTACTATTTGTAGTAACTGTTCAATCAAAACATCATATAAAACTATAACGAAATAGAGAAATAAAGAATCCCTAAAGAAAGCTCAACACGACAAAATTGAAAATGTTGTAAGCTCGGAACCGTTTTTCCGATTTGCCAAATTTTCCATCCAAAATGAAAGTACACATGTAAAAACGGATGCATTCGTATGGAGAATTTCCATTGGTCGTGTGAAAACCTTAGACCAATGAAACTACTCCGTACAAAAAATATAGAGGAGAGCACTCTGCAGAGCCATTACTTTCATTACAATTTGGAATTTGACATATCGGAAAAACAGTTTTTTATAGTTTTATATGATGGTTGATTGAACAGTTACTACAAATAATAATACAATTATATCATATTTATATGAGCAATACAATTCAATCTACATAAAGTTTGTACAATATTAAGTTTTACATTTATTCGTGCTTTTACTAAAGTTAGTCTTCAATCTACATAAAGTTTGTAGAATAGATCTAGCTAGAAAATTATAAAATGATTCAAATTATATGATTGTTCAATTTAAATATTTGAGTATAATGTCTAAGTAGTCGGTGTACAAAAGAAATTCTATTCAAGGTCCATACTGTTTATCTATACCTCTGTTAGATGTTCATTCCTTAACATACATGTCACATGAAACTGATTTTTAATATAATTTTATTCTTGAACGTGTGGGATACATCAGACTTGGATGGTCCCCTATACTATAAAGGTTTCTCCTAACTAGTTTGGTTTAATGTAAAGGTGACTTGGGAAAGCCCTATGCGAATGGTACGAGCTGATTAAGATACAATGAAACTGGATATTAATTTTGAAATACTGATTTTTCAATAAGACAATTATTTGCAGATCTTAAAGTGTCTTTGTAAAACAAGCAACGTGTCAGCCTGTTATTGTATCGCTTATTGAAACTGTTCAATGTCTTACATTCAATGTCGTATTAGTTATAAAAGTCTTTCGATCTATCTTTTCAAAACTTATGTTATCAATTTCTTACTGAACTGTTAAATGTCTATCAAACAATTTCTGGTTTAGAGAGTTCGATTCAATAAAAATTGTTTTCTAGAAATCACAATCCTATTCTTTTAGCTTTTTTGCACTACTGTGTATTCACTCAAATTACTATCTACGAGTGGTCATAAACTTGCGAGATATATACTTATATAAAAAGCATGACCTCAGAATAAATGACTTCAACGTTTCAATTTTCAATTTTGTCTTTCTTTAGGAATTCTTATTTTCTGTATTCAATTTACTTTTGGCATAGTAAGGGAAAGTCGTTATTGATTCAAATTATAGGTGTGGCGGAGATTAAAATATGATAAACAAGATCAACAAGGAAAGGCGTCTTTCGTCGATGCAAGTGCGAGGTATCGTAGACCTTTCAATATCGTCCATGTGCAGAGTGCAGACACGAACAAACGATACCATCAATACCTTTACATTTTTTTTGTTGCCTCTCCATCGAAGCAATAAAAATGCATAACTCTTATTACTCTATATGACTTGTATCATGCCTTATCCTATGGAATGTAGCTGTCTATAGTGTGTCGATACAATTCGCATTCTTACATATTGTTTTCATTTGTATAACGGTATCAGTTCAATATTTTTCACTTTTATTGCACAAATATACGCCTCAACATTCTTAGATTTATTATTTTATGGAAATTGATAGAATTTAGATATGTTCAAATAATTTGAAGCCGTTTTGAAAGTATATATGGTAATATAGGAATACCTT